ACTCTTAATTCAGTTTTGACTTTTAAAAGTTTATATCTGAAAGCCCTGTGTAAATATGTTCCTTGCATTATTGCTTGCAATAAGTTCATTTTCTCATGGATGTGTATATATCTGAATTATGTGTACATATGCTTCCTTGCATTAGTGCTTGCAATTAGTTGAGTTTCTTATGTAAATATGCAGAGATTCTATTTCAGAAACTGTCAGTAATTTGCTGTGGTAGCTCTTCTGAAGTTCAGAGACTCCTTTCTCTGCATATATCAATAGAATCTGATTGTCCATTCCTGCAGGATTTCATGCAAAGAATCTAACCATTTATTTTTACTTGTGGAATCATAGGCGAGGTTTCTTAAAGCTTGTGGTACTATACCGGAGACACCTATTGAAATTAGGAAAGCATCTCAAAAACTAAGCAGTCCTCAGCACTCTGGATCTTCTGATTTTCATTCATGGATTTCCAGTAGCTCCGCTATAGGGTTCCATTTGGATGAATCTCCAATCCCCATGAAAGATTGTGAAGAGGTGGCAAGACCATCAATTACTTCAGAGCAAACACTAAGCAGGTAGAGCACTAGAGGTTATTTTGTTTAAATTAAAACAGGCATTTTGCCTCCTTGTGCTATGCTTGATAGACCTGGCATGATTTCTTGATAGAACTGGCGTGGCATTATTTTTACATCTTAGTAGATGTTAAATGGATTTATGGATCTGGAACTCACTCTTTTCTTTTTTCCATATTAGTTGCGTAATCAATGTCCGGGACACTGCAAGGATCTTATCTGCTTCTAATGATGCTGATGAAGTAGATAGCATTAGCACCACATTCAAGGGTGAGTTGGATAGAACTGACAAGCCGATGCTCACAGCTGGAAAGACTAAGTCTGTGCGATTTGAATGCGACCTTGAACAATCTCACTCTTCAAATTCTTCCGAGAATAGCAGTTCAAGAAAACCTGAGATGGGTGGCAAAATCAGTTTTACAGTGAGCTCGCCTAATCCAACCCCATTGAAACTATCTGATGAGATGCAAACTCCTGGAACCATATATCCTGCAATCATGGAATCAGCAGGAAGGGGAAGGCCTAGAATCAGGTCACAGTTTGTGCATTCGGTTTCCAATCTTATGGAAAATGCATCCTTATATAAGGTCCACAAGGTAGTTGAAAAAGAGCAGATAGAGGGTGAAACTCCCTCTTCAGCAGGTTATGGGGAAATTGTGGAAGAAATCTCAGATGAGAAACTGTCCAAGTTTGAGGCAAGTTTTTCTCCTTGGCTAAACCGGATCAACGAAGAGTGTGACGAAAACATTGCGGTTTTAAACGATAGGACACCTCGAGTCGCTGCCATAACTCCAGGTGACAGGCCTATCATTGGATTGGTTGCTACTCACTGGAATGAGAATGCGCAAACTGAGATTTCACCCAAATGGTGGGATGGAAATGGGATCCCAAATTCGACAACTAAATACAAGGAGGTATTATTCCTTGTGTTTCATCTTTGCTTTCTCTAATACTCAGAAACTATACACAATTGGTTTACATTCTTTTTACCTTATGCAGGATCAGAAAGTGAGTTGGCATGCAACACCATTCGAGGTGAGATTGGAGAAGGCACTCTCGGAAGAAGGTGGTCAGAGTTTATTCCCTCGGAGGTATTAACCGTAAACCTCAATGACATTTAGGACTATTCCCAAATGAGAAGAGCGATAAAAGCTACATGAGCTAATCCGTAAATGTGTATGATGCAGGAAACTTGAAGTGATGGAGGAAGATGAAGGAGACTCAAACATATCGCAGCAGATGCAGCATTCAGTGCAACCAAACTCGGTAGTTTCCTTCTGAAAGTCTTTTCGGCTTTCGTACAGAACAGTATTAGTTACATATGGCGATCATGACTCATGAGCAATTTAAATACTCTTATTTCGAGTTTCTATGGCACTTCAAACAAATTTAAAGAGTAAAAGTTTAAACAGTGATGTTTATGAATTCTCTTCTTCACACACTCTTTTGATATTTTTCTTGAGTAAGATTGACCTGCAAATCTATATATAGTACATATATTTTCATTAGTATGTGAGGAAGTTGTAGTAGCCCACAATGTTCATTCATATTTTAAAATGGAGCAAAGCAGAGGTTCCGTCAAGTCCTTTGGCATTGAAGTAAGTAGCGTAGTCCTTAATGGTGGTCTCTCTGTACTTTGGAGGATTTTCTTCAGACACAATCTCTCTCATGGGTCCATACATTCTAGGATTCGGTCTCATGCCGGTGGTGAAGAAACATGCAACAGAGACTCGAGCTCTTGTGGCTCTGTTCGCCAGTACTCTATGGTCCAAACTGATAAACTTGTCGTTTGTTATAAGCTGCATCATGACCCCAAAAACCAATTAAAACAAAACTTTGAACAACCAAGAGATTGCAAGCAAAAATGCGTTGATTGTGCAAACTTGCCTGTAGAAGATCTCCGATGTTGATGATGAGTGCACCGGGAACGGGAGGAACATCGAACCAGTACCCTTCACGGTGAACTTGAAGCCCTTCAATCTGATCTGGAAGAAGAACGGTAAGAAAAGAGTTGTCCGAGTGTTGACTTGTGCCTAAAGTTAGGTCAGGCTCTGGACACGGTGGGTAGTAATGGCTAAGCATGAGCAAACCCTTTAAGCAATCCATGTCCTTGAGGTGATTAGGGTTTAACCCTAGAGCTTCTGATAAAAGCTCAAAAAGAAATTCCCCTAAATTCATCACTTCCTTTGTGTATTCAATCATAACATCCCTGTGAAACAGTTTTCACCATATGAATAAAGATTACACATTAAAATTAGTAAGTTCAAGCAATGGAGTCATCATCATACCTACAAATAGCTGGCAAGTCTTGTGGATTTGGAGGATCCGGAGCCATGTAACAAGAGAAAGTGTCTCTCCAGTTTGCAGCTGGAGAACTGAAGAGATCGAAATTACTTAAATACACAAACTTTCTGCTGAAATCTCGACCGTAGTAATGTTTCCTAACTTCTGGTGATTGTTCATGAAACCCACGAACTCCATCTTTCATCTTCTCAAGAAGATCGAGTGAAACTCCATGGTTGATCACTTGGAAGAAACCCCATTTCTCTGCTGCATCTTTAATTTCTTTAATCGCCTTCTTGCGGGTAATCGCGTCCTCGAAGATACGTCCTCCGAGATCAATCGTTGGGATCGTCTTGAGGTGTAGGAAGTCAGAGGAAAGTGGTTTAGCGTTTGCTAAATTGTCGGATGAGTGATGGAAGATGCGTGGAACCTCTGAAATTCCGGCGTCGACTAGTCCTTTCACACCTGTCTTGGTCTCGTCGAATTCTTTAAGCTCACTGACACGATCGTATGAAGCAATCTTCATTGTCTCCATCGTTCTTTCTTTCTCATAAAACAGAGCAATTGTCTGATACAGTCAATCACACTTAACATAACCCACAAAGAAAAATTGAAACTTTCTTCTTGGTTTCGAAGATAAGGTGGTTATTCAGCCACTACAACAAAACCATAGATCATATAGATAAGGTTGGTTTTAGAAGAAGTAAAAAACAAAGAGCTTCGGATAGTGCCTCTGGCCCACTTTAGCACAGAGAAAAGTCAAAGTCCCACGCATCTTTATTTGAGTTTACACACAATGTTGTATGACATTCTCAGAAACATCAATGAAATTTTCATTGATCTTCATCCTCATACACTCTTTTGATGTCTTGTTTTCTTTTCTTGAGATATCATTACATATAGTCAACCATGTTGGTATTTTGAAATGGAGCAAACTGTAAATTTAAGATATCATTACATATAGTCAACCATGTTCATATCTTGAAATGGAGCAAATCAGAGGTTCCGTCAAGTCCTTTGGAACTACGGTGAGCAGCAAACTCCTTTACGGTGATCTCTCTGTACTTAGCAGGGTTATCTTCAGACACAAGCTCTCTCATGGGTCCATACATTCTAGGATTGGGTCTAATACCGGTGGTGAAGAAACAGGCGACCGAGACTCGAGCTTCCGTGGCTCTGTTTGCTAAGACTCTATGCTCCGAACTGATGAACTTGTCGTTTGTTATAAGCTGCATCAAAACCCCCAAAAACCCACTTTGGAACAAGAGGAAGATCGATTATACAACAAACATAACATTATGTTATAAAGCTGTGACAAAACTGAGCAAACAAAACATGCATTGTTGTGACAAAAGCTTGCCTGTAGAAGGTCTCCGACGTTGATGATGAGTGCACCTGGAACAGGAGGAACATCGAACCAGAAGCCATCACGGAGAACTTGAAGCCCTTCGATCTGATCAGGAAGAAGGACAGTAAGAAAAGAGCTGTCCGAGTGCTTACTTGCACCTATAGTTAGGTCAGGCTCTGGACATGGTGGGTAGTAATGGCAAAGCATGCGTAAGCCCTTGGAGCAATCCATGTCATTGAGATGATTAGGGCTTAACCCTAGTGCTTCTGATAAAAGCTCAAACAGAACTTCCCCCAAATTCATCGCTTGAATTGAGTATTCAATCATAACATCCCTGAGAAACAATTTCATTCACCATCCATGATTACACAAATCAAATCAGGTTAAAGCAATGGAGTGGAGTCATCAATCATCATTACCTACAAATGGGAGGCAAATCATGTGGTTTTGGAGGATTTGGAGCCATGTAACAAGAGAAAGTGTCTCTCCAACTTGCAGCTGGTGAAGTGTATAAATCGAAATTACTTGTATACACAAACTCTCTCCTAAAATCTCGACTGTAGAATTGTTTCCTAACTCCTGGTGATTGTTCGTGAAACCCACGAACTCCGTCTTTCATCTTCTCGAGAAGATCGAGTGAAACTCCATGGTTGATCACTTGGAAGAAACCCCATTTCTCTGATGCGTCTTTAATCCCTTGAATCGCCTTCTTGCGTGTTACCGTGTCATTGAAGTTACGTCCTCTGAGATCGATCGTTGGGATGGTATTGAGATGTAGCAAGTCAGAGGAAAGTGGTTTCGGGTTTGCTAAATCGGCGGATGAGTGGTGGAAGATGCGTGGAATCTGTGAAATTCCGGCGTCAACGAGTCCTTTGACACCTGTCTTGGTCTCGTCGAAAGCTTTAAGCTCACTGATACGATCGAATGAAGCAATCTTCGTCGTCTCCATTATATTTTTTGTTTATCAGAAAACAGAACAATCTGATACAATCACACATAAACTGATAAACATAACCCCACAAAGAAAAAATGAAATTTTCTTCTTGGTACTACTGAAGATGGGACCAGTAGCTAAAAGCAACACCATTCATCGTTGATAGGGAAAAAAACAGCAGCATGAGATCAGACAATGCATGGCCCAGACAAGACTTATTTAAAGTACCATGTATCTTTATTACACATGACAACCTCATATCTTTAGATAGAGTAATCCAGAGGATGCATATATGTTTAACATATCGAAATTAGCTTACTTAAATTTTTCAAAATGTATTCATGTTCAAAATTTACAATATTTTGTTACATGTATTTGAAATGAAATTGAACTACTTGAATGATAACATTTCTTCCAATTAATCAAAATAATACATTGGTCTTTATCATTAGATGTAATGTACTCATAAGCCATGTTCCTATGTCGATTTTCCACAAAAAAAAGGTGGTTATTAGTTAGTTAGTCCACAAAAAAATACAAGTGCTTATTACATTGCAACTAGCCAAATGAAATGAGAATTCAAAAGCATAACAATTGGGTTTTTATAGCATATAATAATCATATTTTATTCTAATATAAATAGTAATGTGATCGAACAAACAATAATTATATCTTAGAGAAAAACAATATTTCATACGTTTGATTTGTTTACCGTTCACATATGATATATACAAAGAAATATTGTTAGTTTTTAGTTCATAGTGTTAATTTTCAATCTAATTTACCTATTTTGCACAAAATATGATCTTGCTTAATACTAAGTGTACCGAATGAAAATGTTGATCTTTGTAAGCGCACCCGGTTGTTTGCATTTCCTACACACGTTATAAATCCTTGGACAATGTAGAATGGTGATACGTTGATCCACAAGCTTGAAATACATGGGACAAGTCATTGTTTCCAAATTGCCATACCCAATTGCATCAAAAACAAAGTAGTTCGAGTTAACATGTTTAAGAGCTTTAGTCACGTTCGGTCGAAAATCTTCGAACTTATAACTGCTTTCTATTGGTAACTCAAAATCCCATACAAATCGAAATGCATTTCCAACACAGCAGCATTCGAGGAAGGGTTGGGTTTGAAAATAATTACCTAGTTGAATGGAGGTTACGGGAATGTGTAACTAAATCAGAGAATTTAACACTGGTTTAGGAAGACGATGGTTGTGAAAGCATACGACGACCCGTTAAGTCTAAGAAACTAGAGAAGATATGGGCTAATGAAGCTAATGGGGTAATTGCGTGAGACTTGTGAGCTCTCTAAATCCCATAGGATTACAGAGGGACTTATGAGATTGCCGCTATGATATTGGATACAATCTTTAAACAAAGAAAAATAAATAGGAAATAAGTAAGATAATAACTCTTAGTATTTTCTCGGCGAGGCATTGTTTGTCGATGTCTGAGAGACAAATTTCCCTAAAACTTCTTTTATTCGAGAACTCTAAAATCTTCTCTTTTTCTTGTCAGGAAGAAAATTAAAGCACGGTCAAACTTCTTCTTCTTTTTAATATGATATTCATAATTTAAGGCTTTGATT